GTTTTGTCAGGGGGGTGCAAAGCAGGTGCAGAAGGTGAGCTGGATCCATGGACGAACACTGAAATATTAACATAGACTTTCAAAATAACAAACAGTGTTCCTGTGTTGCTCAGTTGGTAGAGCATGGTGCTTGCAACACCAAGGATGGATAGTGGGTTTGTTTCCTGCTCGTATGCGCAGTTTGAGCTACTCTAGGAAGTGACATTGCAGGCCAGCTCAGTGCTGCCCCTCTCATTGAGCATCTCAAGTTGAAGGACGATGAGGTACTGCAGGCTGCCATTAGCAACTAAATTAGCCTTTTAACTTAGTCTCTGTGTGATTTTAAAGTAATCGTTTCAAGGACATACATCTGGTGGGGGGTGCTGTACCTCTTGGCACTCCCTCACCGTTGTAAAAAAATATTTTGGAAGCTATATAAATGTATTTATTAATGTCTACATTAGTTTCTGCCACATTTATTCTATTACAGCTTAATGCATACTTTAGATTATATTATGTGAGCCAAACATTAAAAAATAAGAAAATATATTCAAACATTTTCCCTAAAGTATCACGAATGTTACTTTTCCCACTTCAACAAATACATACTTAAATACATGTAATTTTGGCCTTGAAACATTTAATTGAAATACTGTAGAATTTCATTCATGCCTATGGAGGACTGCTCCTACTGGGGAGTCCAAATATGGGCGACCGGTGTCTTAAAAAGCTTCTCAATGGCCAATACATAGCATCAGCAATCCAGTGATTATATACACTGATTGTACAAAACATAAAGAACACCTTCCCAATAATGAGTTGAACCCCCCCCCTTCTTGATACACACGGGACAATTTAGAGCGTGGAAAACCCAGCAGCATTGCAGTTCTTGACACACTCAAACCAGTGCGCCTGGCACCTACTACCATACCCAATTCAAAGTCACTTAAATATTTTGTCTTGCCCATTCACACTCTGAATGGCACACATACACAATCCATGTCTCAATTGTCTAAAGGCTTAAAAATCGTTATTTAACGTGTCTTCTTCCCTTCATCTAAACTGATTGAAGTGGATTTAACAAGTGACAACAATAAGGGATCATAGCTTTCACCTGGATTCACCTGGTCAGTATATGGCATTGAAAGAGCAGGTGTCCTTAATGTTTTGTCCACTCAGAGTACAACATTGATTTAAATAAAGGTGCTCTCTGCATGCGATGTGAGATGTGATTGGTGTCTTGGCATGGCCACAGTCATAAAGTAGCTACAGTAGCTACAGTAGCTGTTATCAACAGCACAGATCATGTCACCCCTTTGCTTGTGTGTGTCAGAGTGAGTGAGACAGGAGTGTGTGGGGGGGGCTGTCTGTAGATCCTCTCTGGTATTCTACTTTGATTGACTGCTCTTCAGATAGTAACTCAAAATGAAGTGGTACTGAGATACTGTATGTAAGGTATCCGTTTTTAACGTGTTATCTTTTATCTTCTAGACTCTGGCCACGTCTGCTGAGAACTTTCAGATGGAACACAAATGGGAGGATGAGTATGCGGTAAAACTCTGATTGTTATTATAAGCAACATTACATTTATTTTTATTTTTTTTTATTTAACCTTTATTTAACCAGGTAAGCCAGTTGAGAACAAGTTCTCATTTACAACTGCGACCTGGCCAAGATAAAGCAAAGTAGTGCAATAAAAACAACAGAGTTACATATGGGGTAAAAAAAAAACATAAAGTCAGAAAATACAACAGAAAAGATATATACAGTGTGTGCGAATGTAGCAAGTTATGGAGGTAAGGCAATAAATAGGCTATAGTGCAGAATAATTACAATAGTATTAACACTGGAATGCTAGATGTGCAAGAGATTATGTGCAAATAGAGATACTGGGGTGCAAAAGAGCAAAATAAATAATATAGGGATGAGGTAGTTGGGTGGGCTAATTTCGGATGGGCTGTGTACAGGTGCAGTGATCGGTAAGGTGCTCTGACAACTGATGCTTAAAGTTATTAAGGGAGATAAGAGTCTCCAGCTTCAGAGATTTTTGCAATTCGTTCCAGTCATTGGCAGCAGAGAACTGGAAGGAATGGCGGCCAAAGGAGGTGTTGGCTTTGGGAATGACCAGTGAGATATACCTGCTGGAGCGTAGACTACGGGTGGGTGCTGCTATGGTGACCAATGAGCTAAGATAAGGCGGGGATTTGCCTAGCAGTGATTTATAGATGGCCTGGAGCCAGTGGGTTTGACGACGAACATGTAGTGAGGACCAGCCAACAAGAGCGTACAGGTCACAGTGGTGGGTAGTGTATGGGGCTTTGGAGACAAAACGGATGGCACTGTGATAGACTACATCCAATTTGCTGAGTAGAGTGTTGGAGGCTATTTTGTAAATTACATCGCCGAAGTCAAGGATCGGTAGGATAGTCAGTTTTACGAGGGCATGTTTGGCAGCATGAGTGAAGGAGGCTTTATTGCGAAATAGGAAGCCGATTCTAGATTTAACTTTGGATTGGAGATTCTTTATGTGAGTCTGGAAGTTGAGTTTACAGTCTAACCAGACACCTAGGTATTTGTAGTTGTCCACATACTCTAGGTCAGACCCGTCGAGAGTGGTGATTCTAGTCGGGTGGGCGGGTGCCAGCAGCGTTCGATTGAAAAGCATGCATTTAGTTTTACTAGTGTTTAAGAGCAGTTGGAGGCTACTGAAGGATTGTTGTATGGCATTGAAGCTCGTTTGGAGGTTTGTTAACACAGTGTCCAATGAAGGGCCAGATGTATACAAAATGGTGTCGTCTGCGTAGAGGTGGATCAGAGAGTCACCAGCAGCAAGAGCGACATCATTGATATACACGGAGAAAAGTGTCGGCCCAAGAATTGAACCCTGTGGCACCCCCATAGAGACTGCCATAGGTCCAGACAACAGGCCCTCCGATTTGACACACTGAACTCTATCTGAGAAGTAGTTGGTGAACCAGGCGAGGCAGTCATTTGAGAAACCAAGGCTATTTTATCTGCCAATAAGAATGCGGTGGTTGACAGAGTCGAAAGCCTTGGCCAGGTCGATGAAGACGGCTGCACAGTACTGTCTATTATCAATCGCGGTTATAATATCGTTTAGGACCTTGAGCGTGGCTGAAGTGCACCCGTGACCAGCTCGGAAACCGGATTGCATAGCGGAGAAGGTACGGTGGTATTCGAAATGGTCGATGATCTGTTTGTTAACTTGGCTTTCGAATACTTTCGAAAGGCAGGGCAGGATGGATATAGGTCTGTAGCAGTTTGGATCTAGAGTGTCACCCCCTTTGAAGAGGGGGATGACCGCGGCAGCTTTCCAATCTCTGGGGATCTCAGACATTATGAAAGAGAGGTTAAACAGACTAGTAATAGGGTTAGCGACAATTTCAGCGGCTAGTTTTAGAAAGAAAGGGTCCAGATTGTCTAGCCCAGCTGATTTGTAGGGGTCCAGATTTTGCAGCGCTTTCAAAACAGTTACTTTCAGTTACATGATATACTGTAGGTGTAACTCGCCCCTCCCACCACCAATGTGAAGTAAGAATGTGGGCGATACTGGAACACTCACCACCCATCGGCTGAGACACGGCAACCTCAGATGACCCTACTGTACATGGTGTCTTATTACTAATCCCTTTATGGGCTAAATAGGAGGGAAGATAGGGTTTTAACACACACACACACACACATATTCACTCACACACACACACACACACACTGGCACGCTTGAGTTAGCGGCCATATATCTTGTTTAATAATAGTTGAACCAATATGATTTAATGTTGTTGTCATCAAGAGATTTAACTGTTATTATTCATTACATATTGTGGGCCATTAAACCACTTATGTCTACAGATGGCCTCTACCTCACAAGTATGCCCCCCCCCCCCCCCCCCCCCCCCCCCCTCTCTCTCTCTCTTTTATATTTTATTTATTATTGTTGTTGAATTGTAGAGAAGTAACCTGTAAGTAAGCATTTCATTTGACATTGTATACCATGTGTGCCCCGTACATACGACTAATAAAACTTGAAACTTGAAACTCTCTCCAACAAACACACACGCTCACACACACACACACACGCAATATGCTCACTAGGATATTTGTGTCATTTGTTACAGGATGGTGACATTGTTTACTACAATGCAAAGGACAATGTGAGTATTTTTATTATTTTTCTGCCAATGAACAAACACAAAGGTCTCACACAGAGCTGCATCTATAATCAACCCACAATCTCACTCAGATATAGACTAGTGGTTTGGTCTAGGACAGCTCCCCCTCACTTTCTCTCTATTTATCATTCTCTTTTTAACTCACTCTTTTCCTGTCCCCGTCAACCCTCTTTACTCTCCCTATCTTCCCAACCCTTTCTCTCTTCCTCCCTCACACCTCCCTCTCTCCCTCCCTGTCTAAATATCCATTACCCCTCTTGTCCTCTCTCTTAGGTGAAGAGGTCCCTGGTGTGCTTCCACTGTAATTGACAGTTGAGATATATGAGCTGCTACTGTTGCTTTATTAAGAGACTCTTCTTATTCCCCTTCCCCTTCCCCCATTCTCTCTCTCTCTCTCTCTCTCTCTCTCTCTCTCTCTCTCTCTCTCTCTCTCTCTCTCTCTCTCTCTCTCTCTCTCTCTCTCTCTCTCTCTCTCCCAATGATGTGAATTGGTGAACACACTATTGGACATATCCATAGGCTGTGTCTCCTCTCCTTATTATAGGTGGCCTTTCTGTGGAAGACATTTGCCACGTTAATCCACAGTTTGGGCCAGGCAGGTTTAGGCCTGAAAAGTAGGCAGGTTTAACCCAGCCTTCTCCACACACCATTTATTTCTCTAAACCAGTGTAGAATAATAACTTGACATGCGTCTAATGAGGGACAGTGGATTTGACATGTACATCTGCTTGGTCTTAGCCTCCCTGTTTCATACATATACAATCTAATAGTGGACATAGGTTGTAGTCTGTTTTAAATCACTGTCTAATATTCTCCTTTCCTCTCTTCTAGTTGGAAGTGAATGAGACAGAGGGTAGGAAGAACCGGATCAGGCCAGCATTTAAGGAGGATCCGTTGTTTAAACGCTTCACCTCTCATAACGACACTGCTGTACACATCCCTACTGACATCTATGATGGCTGTGAGTACACACCAGAGGAGGCTGGTGGGAGGAGCTATAGGAAGACAGGCTCATTGTAATGGCTGGAATATAATAAATAGTACAGAATCAAACATGTAGTTTCCATATGTTTAATGTGTTTGATACCGTTCCCAACTATTCTATTCCAGCCATTACAATGAGCCTGTCCTCCTATAGCTCCCCCTACCAGCCTCCTCTGGTACAAACACATATACTTGCACTATACACACATGCACGTATGTATGCATGAACGTGCACACACATACTAGACCCTAACCCCTGACACCATGGGTTTTGCAAATTCCGACTTAAATTAACACTTTATTATATATGATGCTGTTTTTTGTGTTAGGGAACAACACATGTAGTTTTACAGTATTTTGGGGGCGGTGTTGTTTTAACACTGTAAGTCTTATTTTCGTATTTCCCTGCATGCCTTTCAAGTGAATGTGACAGATATCCACCCATGACTGTGTTTGTTAGTGACAGAGACATGGTTGTTGCATTCATAAAGTTTCAGTCCAGAAGCATTTATCAAGTGACTGCTTAACTGAATGTATTTTAATTAAAAGTAAACACTTCATGACAAATGTATTATACATTTCACAATGCCTTTAGTTTTTTAAGGCCTAGTTATTCTCCACATTGTGGTCTGAAAATCCTGATGAATGGGGAACATCAGAGGGGTATACTACAAAGCAGGATCAATGAGTTAGCCAGCAAACTTGCCCAAATAAAAATGTTTTATTTTTTAGAAAGATAACCTTAAATGGGCATGGTGTAATTAACTCAACAACCAAAAACGCATGTCTAAATTTAGCTTTCTTAATGAACCAGACTATCTAGAGTTAATTCTGGTTGTTTATCAAAATTACCTTTGTAGTATACCGCTCAGACCTGCAAATGACAATATGCTGGTTTGTGAAGTGATTAGTAATTCTATCAGAATCCAACCAGAGGAAGGATATCCAACAATTGGAATGTTGTATCACCCACGACCTGCATACAGAACGACTGCCGTAGTGAAGAACTTGACAAGCAAGACTACCTAAATAATCTAAATTGGAACAATAATTCCAACCCCTTACAGATTGGATTAGTTTAGAAAAATGTAAGTTACTTATCTTTGTATAGTATAAGATGAATTCATTAATCAATGTGCATGAAGAAACATAGATATTAAAATAAACAATTCTAAAAATCAACCTGCAACAAAGCATGCTGGGAAACATAATAAGGAGCCCCCCTCCATGTCTGATAGAATTAACAGAAATGAAATCAACACAGTCAAATAACAACAACACCTTGCGGTGTTGATTCCACTGTGTTTCAAATAACACTTAATTTATTCACCACAGGTGGTGTCAATTTCAATCCCACTGGTGTTAACCCCACTAGAATCAACACTCAGATATAACACTCACAACACTTTTTAGTATTTACCTGCTGTCTGAAAGGTGTGTCTCCTGAGTCCTTCTGACATTAGCTCTGGCTGCTTTGTATAATATTGACCGGTGTGCTGCTTTCTGTGTGTGTTCATGTGTGTGTGTGATTGGACTTACTTACGTGCGTGCGTTCGTTCGTTACAGAGTCAGTGAGTCTGTGTGTAGGGTCATTAGCGTGTGGTGTGTTGCGTCAGCCCACACACTGAGAGGCAGCAGAATGGAGTCACTCCTTCAGCATGCCCCTCGGCCTGCTGGAATAGCGTCTGGATCCAAGGTTACCCACTACTGACCTCACAGAGAGGGAGAGGCTGCATGTGGGAAATTAGTGTGTATGTGCAGGTGTCCCTGTGATCTAGAGTGCTAGCGTGTGTGTGTATCTTGTCCCTTCCCAGACTCTGCTGGCTGGGGTCGGGCCTAGTTACCATGTTTCCTCCCGCTTTTTCTAAGGAAGGGTTGTGATTGCTGGAATGTAATGAGTATGTGTCAGCCCAGTGGCCTGCTGGGTAATAGTATGAGCTTGGGTTAGCGAGAGAGGTGGATAAAAGAGGGTATAGAGAGATAGCTTTGTGTAATGTTCTTGGAAGATGAGTTGTTCAGTAGGTACACTTAGCAAACCTGACCAATATTTCAATTAACAATCAATAAACGCACAGCCTTTTCTTCTGTATAGTATTGTTCTGGAGAGAGAGAGAGAGAGAGGAGATGAAGAGAGAGAGAGAGAGAGAGAGAGAGAGAGCGAGAGAGAGAGAGAGAGAGAAGAGAGAGAGAGACGATACGCTATCGAGAAGAGATAGCGAGGACCTAAAGTAGTATCTAAGAATCGAGATGAGATGAGCGCCTCTATTATCTCTATCTCAGCGAGCTCTCGTCTCTAGACTCTCTCTCCGTACTCTGTCTCTCGCTAGGCTCTCTCTCTCAATCTCTAGTCGCTATCTCTACTGCTGCCGATCCGATCACTTCCACAGATCGCCACCACATTAATTCAGCTCACATCCCCACAATACAATATATGAATGTAATGTTTTTATAATGAAGCCCCCCTACACACACACAGGAAAGGACACATCCATCACTCTCCCCTCTTCTCCACTCACCACTTGTTTCCATTCACCTGCCTCTCATATCCTCCTCAGTGTGGATCAAAACCTCAAACTGTGTTACAACCCCTTAAAAATATATATGCGTGTGAAAAAATTCAGACAAATGTGTGAGCACATTTATGATCAAATCACATGTATAAAAAGAATCATGTGGTTTTCACATTATTATTTTTCACAACTTACAGCTAGTCTCCCATCCCAGGGAGCAACCAGGATCAGCCCTGCTTAGCTTCAAAGTAAACCAACAGTGGGATGCAGGGTGCTATGTTGCTGGAATGAATGTGCCAAATCTTGCAAATAGAAAAAAGGCAGCAAAAGCAAAGGTCAGAGTAACATAACCAAAGGTAGGGAGAAATGCAGGAAAGAGGGAGGTGTTTTATTTAATTGCGTTATCATTATAAAAAAATCACTGAAACTTTTTTTTTTTTATCCATTTTTCATTTGCTCTCACATTTAAAAAAAGCATTGCAATATATTATTTTGCTATCAATACTTTTGGGTTTAGGTTTTGCTTTCA